CTAATTTCTCCTGTCAACAGCATTCATACCTGGCAGCATAGCACAGTGGCTAACAGACTCTTGAGCTGCCACATTGTCTGGGTTCAACTTCTGGCTGAGCTGCTCAGGGCTGCATGACCTTGGGGAAGTTGCTTAACCTCTCCGTGTCTCGGTTTCCTTACATGTAAGAGAGGAATAATGACACTACCTTCCTCGTGGGTCATTGTGCAATTTAAATGAGTTAATCTGTGTAAAGTGCTTAGAACAGAGCCTGGTACAGAGTTGGTGTCCTGTATGGATGAGCTGTTGTTACCACTTGAACCTGCATGAAATGCTCTCTACATATCTCTCCCCTCATCCAAATCCGTTGTCTTCCAAAAAGCCAAATATTTCACCTCCCATTAGTGTGCTAACACACTCAGTCTCCAACACAGGTATTTACTGAGGGTCTACCATGTCTTGCGCTCCAAGGGAACCAGGATGAATCAGAGCCAGCCCTGCTCTTGAGATCACGGCCGACTTGGGGAAATGGAAAGACATTCCAACGAAGATCATCACTGTAACTTGGCAAGAACTGTGAGCTGGCATTACCCATGAAGTGTCCCCCACAAGGGACGCTGCCTTCTTCCTCTCCTGATTCCTACAGCAGTGAGATATCCCATTTGTACCATGATGTTCTGCAGGAAAGGTGTTTGCTCTGTGTCCTCTGGACTGTTTCACACATATATGCCTTGACTTCTTCAACTTGATGGAAGGGCACCCGTTCTGGGACTGGGCCTTCTAATTCTGTCCCTCAACCCACTCCATCCCCACAACCACCTTTTACCTGCAGGTAGCTGGCAACTGCATATTAACTTGTGGTTGGTCAGGATGTTTAAGCTTCTCTAGCAGAAAATTCCCAGGACCTGGGAGGCTGGGTTTCTGCTCTGGCATGACTAGACTACCTAATTATTGCTGATTTCCTTCCATATCCTCTCGGTATAAACAGAGGAACACTATGCACATAGAGACCAGCAAACTAGCATAACAAAAATAATAACAGTGAGGGCGCCTGGGTGGCTCAGCTGGTTGGGCGACTGCCTTCGGCTCAGGTCATGATCCTGGAGTCCCAGGATCGAGTCCCGCGTCGGGCTCCCTGCTCGGCGGGGAGTCTGCTTCTCCCTCTGACCCTCCCCCCTCTCATGCTCTCTCTCTCTCATTCTCTCTCTCAAATAAATAAATAAAATCTTAAAAAAAATAATAATAATAACAGTGAACATTTACTGAGACTTTTCCATGTGCCAAGTACTAGATCAAGTGCTTTATGGGTTTCATACAATCCTCCCGAAAGCCCTAAGAGGAAGGGATCTTTATCTCCCCCCTCCACTTTGCAGTTGAGGAAACAGGCATGCAAAGAAGCTCCAACAGAGCAAGGAAGAGGTACCAAAAACTGGTTCCCTAAAAATCTGGGAAGGCAATGGTGGAAGCCATTTTTCATTCCTCCACTGTGTTTAGATGGCTGGCTCCAAAATGAAACTTCCAATCACCCAGAAGGAAAGGAAAGAGCCCTGAGCCAAAAGGAAGAGAGAGCCCCCCCTTCCTAAAAACAGCCTATTCAGACACTGGCATCCCACAGATTCCAGCCTCATCGAGATCTCTTTGCTCCTCCAAGATTTCCAAGTTCTCCAAAAGCATCAAACCAGCATGTGTAAAACTAGCACAAAATAAAAAACCAAATGGTTTTTTCCTTCTAGAGTTTATACTGAAGGTTTGCAGAAATGCACGGTTTCAGCTAGGGCTTAAATGAGACGGTATCTCCAATCTAAGAGGAAGAAGGGACCTAAAGAAATGTACCCCTGCTGACAGGGGAGGGAAGAGAACTGGGATCCATTTTATTTTTAAACCTTTAACATACATCTTTAACATATTGTAAAATTCAAGCAAACAGAGTCTCAGAGAAACACCCAAGCATCCAGAGCTTGGCGATGTGGCCTGGGTTATTGGCAGTTAAAAAAAAGAGGCACGAGACAGACACTCCCTCACTCTCCAGCACCAGCTTTGCCAGAATCCCACCCCAAAGACAACCAAAACCGGTCCTGTCTAATCTCTCCTGCTCCCTCCAACTCAAGCTGCAAGGAACGCCCACGATACTTCAGACACAGAATGCTGAGATCAAGATTCTTGCTAAGCTTAAAATAATGATGTGCTCCATGGCAGGCTTAAAAACTGTCTGGGGTCCCAAAAAAGGATCCTAAAAAGCAACCAACGATCACAACAATTAAAATCATTCTCACTACCAGAGGCTCCGTGAAAACTCCTCATTCATTCAGCATCACCTCTGAACATTTCATTCAATTCACTGGAACAGATCTGGGGTCAATTTCCCCAGCGCAGCACCACAGCATCTGCAATCTCCTAGGTGGTGTGAAGAGTGAGTAACGGCACAGGTAATCTCTGTAAATAAAAACCCGTGACGCTGAGAATGGGGAGGGGAGAAGGAGATGCTTGGGAAGAAACAGCAGGTCCCCGGCGGCAGCGGTGGGACCCCCAGAAAATGCCTCCTCCCACCTCTAAATGAATTTTGTCTATATGTCCGTAGCACTGCAGGGGCTTCTGATTAATTTCATCATTGCATCTTTTATTGAATTTCTAAATAATGATAACACGATCGGTCCAGGGTCACCTGCACCCAACAGGTGGAGTGGATTTCTATAAGGATGCTGTAGGTTTTACCCGCAGGGCTGCCCGTGACCGAAGAGCCAAACCCGACAGCAAGATCACATTCAAAGACACGAGATGAAAGAATATCTTTCTGATTCCAACCCCAAACTGCCATGGCAAAGACATTAAAGTTCCCCAAAGGCAGGAATACTCCAATCCCATCTTCCAGGTAAGAAATACATGCTTTTTTGTTTGCGTGGACTTTTTTTTTCTTTTTTATGAGAATCTTATTAAGCATTCTGTTGGGGCATGAACAGACGCTCGTGTTATGCTCCAGAGAGGTACTGTGAACTATCAAAGGTGAAATAGCCTATCTTCAAATACAATGAGCAGTACAAACACAATCAACAAATATTTATTGAGTGCCTGGGCCTTAAGACTGAGATGTCGTCCCGTTCCCCACCACCCCCCCCACCGCTCGCCGTCAGAGAGCTTCCTTAACTGAGCTTTCTGTGAAGGGCAGATGCAATTTCAGGCTTCCTGAACGATAAGCCATTAATCACACACTGCTTCAGATCAATTGCAATGCCTAAGATCCCCCACAGCATTCTGCCTTTGCCCCCAAAATCGAATTCCCTCAAGTCCTCCCTAGTTTTTCAGATCACTAGCACCCCAAGCAAGCTTTCATTCTGAGCCGGCCAGCCCACTGCTAACCAGAACTGGAACTCTCCACACACCTCCCTCCAGTCTGATGTGTGACCTTCAGTGTGCTGCGCGTGTCCACATTAAGCTGCCCACCAACCACGCGTCCTTCAGCGTCAGGCCTCCACTTCTGCCCTGCTCTCCAAATGCCCTGCTGGGCCATTTCAAATCCATCTGATGGCACATTCAACAGCTAGTTAGCTCTCTGCCTGTACTCCTACCATCCAGATTGTTTTTGGAGTTGCAAAGCAAAGGAGCCAGAAAGACACTGCCAACGCTACCAAAATGCAAACCCGGATATTAAACCCAGACCCCAGGGAAGAAGGAAAGTAGGACCACCTCAGCACCTTTCAACATAAAAATCTCTCTCCCAAGCAATCACAGCCCACAACCCTATTTCATCTCAAGTGCCTAGTTCCCCCACGATGGTCTGAAATCTTTTGAGGAGCCCATGGGGAGACACCATCCAAGAACCAACGCATGCCTTCAAATCGATCTCCGAACTACAAGCACAACAAATCAGGAATGGACGCTGCCAAGGAGAAAATCAAATTCTGCTTGTCTCCTAAGTGGGCAGCGACTAATTACCTAACGTTACCCCGAGAGCCTCCAAGTGAGAAAGCCAGGGCATCAGGGGAATAACACAGCTGGTCCAAGACCTTCCCGGGAAACCCATGTCTCTGAACGCAGCATGTCATGGGATCACGGAACGAAGCAAGACACTGAGCTCCTACATCCACAGACGCTACTGCATTTTTACAGAAATTCCCGGAGGCTGGAAGCCAGGACCCTCCAGTCCCAGGTGCCGTGCGAATGCATTTTTCATGAGCTTTTTCAAGAACGGAGAAAAGACCTGTCATGTTGAGAGGTTTACAGGGATGTTTATACTTCCATTTTCTAGTCTCCTGGTTTGTTGGTTTGTTTGTTTTCCCTGTGAAGCCCAGTTTCTGTGAATCAATGACTCGGCTACATCACACTCCCTCCCGGTGGCTCCCGGTAACGGGTCTCTCACTGGCCACCAGCGCTCCGCCAGCTCAGAGAAGCTCAGCGGCCAGATCCCTGATCTTGCAGCCGACTTCGAGCGGAGCCGAGCACCATCCATCTGTTAGAGCTCTGGTACAGCCACTTGCAGCTCAGCTAAGCCCATCAGGAAACCTTTAGTTTATGAGATCTCGTTCAATACAGCCAAGACAGCAACCTCCATCCACCCACCTGAGAGATGGATACACAGATGGAGAAATAGATGGATGGCTCATTTGAACCCTGCATGTTTCTCCTTCCACCAAGGATCTGCACTGCCAGATATCCCCCACTATTTCCTCCCCTGTAAAGAAGACCAAACACTGAAAAACTAACCCAAAGTACCCAATGGACAATTATGATGCTAGGGACAGGAAGAGGAACCTTAAACACAGCAAAATGAGAATATGAACAGTCTACCCACCAAAGCCCAGACAGGTAAATTGCTTCCCAAATGCAGGCTGATTAACAGCTTCCCTTCCCTGCACT